AAAAAAAAAGAGAATCAATAACCACCAAAACTCAAATAAAACCATTAATGGGGATCATTCTTATTTATCACTATTAATGTTCATGATTGGTATAAATATGCAGTCCTAGCCTCCATATCTCCTTGTCTGCCATTCCAAATAAATTTTGACTCTTCAAATGATACATTGTTTCATAGAGGAACACAGAGATAGGGACAATAGATGTGAATTTGTGGTCGTAAAGCGCCATATTCATTGTTCAATAAATTAAAATACATCACGATTCAATTGAATGACGAATTATGTAATTTACTTCACCTAGACGGGTGATCAACATATCTGGTGATGAATATGATTACTCGTTAATTATATAACATAATAATTAATTTAAAATATAGAGAATTATCCAACTAGGAGTGAGCAAGTTAAATAATTTTATTTTATGCATATGGTAGCGAGTATATATTCTATCAATCATGCTACGCAAACAAGTTCAGTGTCGGAGATTAAAAATATGGGGACGAGGCGCAACATCATTGAGAGAGAAAAATAGTTAGGCACAAATGTGCTGCCACCTCCCAAGTGTATGCCAACTCATACATATCCAGCAAAATATTCAGAACTCCAAGTTGTTAACATCTGACTTAACAAAAAATCCCAAACTAAAAAGCGTTACATTACGGGAAAAAAAACATCAACAAAGATAATGAGATCGCAAACTTAGATCAAATACATGATAAAAATATTAATTAACGGCTATCAATCTTAAAAATAGATAAAAATAACATCTTGAATTGCTAAGAAAAGAATTCCCAAGGTACGCCATCATAATTAGAGCAGGCATCCCACCTGTTGACCACACGGTAAAACTAGAGCAGATCCCCATTCATCAAATGCTGTCGGAGAAGATGACGGTTGAAATTTTAGGTTTTTTGGTCCGGCATTGTTGAAATGCACTAACGATTCAAATGAAATAAGTGCACGAGAAGGTGACGGTTGAAATTTTAGGGCAACATCGATTGATTCGCCTAAGGGTTTGGCGATTGATGCGGGGAAATCTAATTTATGTGCACAGATGAATTGGTTTTCAATTGAATTTTCTATTTCATTGGAGGAAGCGACGTGTTTGTTTTGAATAACTTGAACCTCAGTTGGAACTTGACTTCACATTTGGTCACGTCATTTTTCTGTCCATTACGTAAGCAAGTCTACTAACAAATTTCATTGGATGAGCGATGGAGTTGGACAGATCAAAATTCAATGGTGAAACATTTTATAATGTTTGATAAATAACTTGTAACATTTACATCTAACTCCGTTGTTTACCTAATCTCGCGCGTAAGGCATTCTACCAACGCTGGTTGGTTTACGGGGAAAATACACATATGACACTGCACATGCAGAATCCATCCCCCCGCTCTCCGGCGACCCTATTCTCTCTCTCTAAAACTCACTGAGTCACCTCCGAGTTCTGTGACAATTTTAATGGAAGTCGACAGCACACATGCTTTCACACCCTACGATCTCAATTCGCTACTGTCTTGTACTTCTATGAACCATTCGGAGTTTAGGAGCCACGAGATGTTGGAGGAGGTTAAAATGACGGTGAACGGTCAGGAACTGGATGAGTCTCTGTCAGCTGGTGATCCGGCAAGTTTTCCGACGAGATGCTCCTTGAGTGCGGTCATGAGAGTACAGAAGGTTTACCGGAGCTATCGTACGCGGCGCATGTTAGCAGACTCCGCTGTGGTTGCTGAAGTGCTCTGGTATTATTTTCTTTAAACGAAAAATGGCTAACTTTTAGAATACTGTGTAATTTTTTTTTTTTTAAAAATTTTTAGGTGGCAAGCGATAGATTATGCGCGATTAAATCACAGCACTGTATCCTTTTTCAACTTCATGAAGCCAGAAACAGCAGCATCGCGGTGGAATCGTGTCAGTTTGAATGCTTCAAAGGTAAAAAATATGATTTCTTCTTGTAATTAATTAAACATATTTCTAATTT